ATTCTGTAGTCTTCCTACATGCGGGTCTTCTTCAGCTTTCCGTCGCAGCTTCATCAAACTTAGCAATAACACTTCTATACTGTTTGATGCCTACTTTTGCGATACTCCCCCGTCCCCCGCGGCCAAGTACGAACCCTTTCTGGGGATTTTGCATGAAAAGAGGGCTGTTAAACGTAGCAGTTAAATCTGTAAAGAATACACTCATAATAATTTTCATTTTTTAACATCTTGACTTCCATAGCTCCACTCCCACTATCAACTGAAATGTCAAAACATTGCCCGGCTCTGACCAGGTAAGGTCGCCAACTTACCATGGAACTTTGAATGGAGACCTGGGTAGATCGATAGAGTCTATAAGGTTATTTACAAATATAGATAGCAAAACTGCAACCTGCATTCACAAGCAACTTATGAGCAGGTAAAGTTTGTAATGGTGCAGTAGGGTGGAGGCTTGGTGGTGAGCTGTGAAGCATAAGCGAGGAATCGCATGCCGCAAATGGAGTCGTGGTGGTTCAGTGGTAAGGTACTCGCTTCACAGGCACAGCATGACTCGATTTGGCGTATGCGATTCCACGCTTATGCTTCACAGCTCACCACCAAGCCTCCACCCTACTGCACCATTACAAACTTTACCTGCTCATAAGTTGCTTGTGAAATGCAGGTTGCAGTTTTGCTATCTATATTTGTAATAACCTTATAGACTCTATCGATCCACCCAGGTCTCCATTCAAAGTTCCATGGTAAGTTGGCGACCTTCCCTGGTAAGTAGGCGGTCCACTTGAGCTGGTGTCAGAACTGAGACAGAGCTGTAACAAACATCCCGCTCACTCACTGTGTAGTCGCAGATGTGGGACAGTCTCTGAGCCTGCGGGCTGGACTATTAGCAAGGAAGGACGATCACGAATTGCTCGAGAGCGAGGCCGGCCTTACGCTCAGTGATATACCCTGTTCTCTGGGCTACTACGGGCACCGCGCAGGATCGCATGCGACAACGAGCACCAAAATTCATAGGCCCAGGAACAGTTTCCCCTGTCTTTTTTTGCTTAGTTTAATCGTCTAATTGGTTTTCAAACACTTCTCGTTATTGTGGATGAGAACAAAGGAAAAGCAAAATAAAGCGAAGAAGGAACGTTTGCCGCGTTCGAAATTAGGATACACATCTTCCGTCTGTGACCTCCGCCTATCTGCTCTCTTAGGCGACGTTCAGACTTCGTGACGGTCGATACGAGTCTGCGTGATTAGGGAACACGTACCACCTTATATCCCATTCTCTCCAAAACATATGCGACTCGGCGCCCATTTCTTCCTGTCTGCAAGAGATCAGCTCCAGCCGGCTGCAGTTACATTTACGTGTTTATCTCGAAGTCCCTGAGATCGAGTAGGCGTGATTGCATTCTTGAACTTAACCAAAGGTATGCTTCTGATGAGATATTTGCACCTCGATGCGACTTGTTGTCGTGTCTCTGTCCAAGAACAAGATGACAGTTGTCCCAGACTGGAATATTCCACGAGTAACCAGTTCCGTGCCATGTTCAAATGCCACGCCTACTCTGGCTCAGGGATAAGGAGTGTAGCTTTGGAGCGCTCTTACAATTGTAGCGCCTGTAGTGCGTTGCAGCGCGTCTACGCGTAACCTGTGGATGCCTACTGTCTTAGGCTATTTGCCGACTCAACGCTTTCGGATATTCGGAGACTGAAAGCTGGTGAGGCAGAATTGAAACGAAAGACCTTGTAGGGTCTGCGAAATCAGCGTGGATTCCATTCCAACAGTACTTTCCTTGGAACAAAGAGCATGGTTGATTCAACAGCAGTCGTTGTCGTATCCCCTGGTGTCGCTAGACTTTTCCTAACCCAATGAAAATTCCGATCCTCTATACTTTAAAATTAGAAGATGGCTGAGAAGGCGCTGACAATGCTGTCCTTGGTTCCGAGGTTGTTTTTCATGGAGTTCGGTAGAGGAACAAATGCAGAAACCCTGAATCATTTCTCTGTGAAGTATTTGACTATTAAAGAGACGGCGCCAATTTGGTGAAAATGGTCCGCTTACAAAAAATAATTGTTATGCTCCAAGTGAGGACCGGATAACCATTACAAGAGAAATTCTTCTGTCAGAGAAAGCATTACAAGAGAGCTTCCGTCAGAGGAACGTCCGGCAAACACTGAAGAGGGAATGGATTTCGGGAGCTCAGGATGGAAGGGCCACCTGCATAGGCTTGCATATTCAGCGCACTTCATTTAGCCCACTTGCAGTTCTCCCATCTTTTTCACTCTCTATGGCAGATTCAGTAACACAATTTGGATCGCAATTTTGATAATGTGTTTTCGACTTATCTATTGTTAAGTACAGGACTGGTGTGAGAGGCAAAAGAAATGCTTTTGTGATAGTGGAACAAAGCATGAGACACCACACACCACGAACTCCCAATGCGCTTTAAAAGGGCCAAGAAAACAGCCCAGTATCGACCGATTGCTGACAGCAATGTTGTTCTACCTGCTTTTTACTCTGATGCTTCTGAACACTCTCACCAACGAGGTGGTAGCAGAGGTAAGGCTAACTGGTAAGAGCTTTTCGTGAACAGACCGAACTACGAGGTCGCTACTGCATCAGCAACGAGTGACTTTTCAGCAGTGCAAGGACCTCGATCCCACGTGCAGGTATAGAGCGGCTTGGTGTACGCACCCCATGAAGAAGAATTTCATGCAGGATTGCAAGAAGACATGTGGCACCTGTCCGACCGCCTAGCGGGCTTCACACAAATAAATCTTTGAAGCGAGCAGAACAAAAGCTTGAGGTCTCACCAAACAATGCAACATGCTCTTATTTTCAGATTAGTACAGTATATGCCGAAATCTGTCTTGGGTAACACACTGCCGAATGCATGCTTTCCGAGGGGTCTCAAGACATGAGCTCATTCTGGACGGTTCAAGTTAAAAGAATCGGGGCTGCGAAAAAATCATCAAACACCACTAGAAGCTTTACAGGGCCTCTGGTTTGCTGACGAGTGTTTTCATAGCGTTTCAGCAGGACGGCCCTTCGTGCAAGCACGTCTGCGGGGGCGGGGTGCGGCTGTTGCAAGCGTCATTAGTGGAAGGGCTGCGAGAGGGCGTTTGACCACACCCCACTCCACCCTTTCGCCAATGACGTTGGCAACAACCGCCCGCCCCCCGGCCATGGCATGAGTGGTATCATTCCATAGCTTCACAGTCGGGAGGACTTTACAGCAACGACATTTCAAGAGCTCAAGGACGTTTTCTTTTCAGGAGAATATTGTTAGAACGAGTTTGCTTTTCTGAGAATTTTTGCAAAGTACGACCCCTGTCTCTGAGATTCCTCCTCTGTGTGCACCACCTTTCTTCCAACCGTCATTCTACCTACCATCATCCTGAATTTTCCCCTTTTCCCCCTTAGGCCAAATGTGATCCTCTCTCCACTGACGAAATACGACCCCACAGCACGGCATACGGTGGAGATCCCCAAGTACGGTGTGCCCTGCTCCTAACTTCAACTATGCTGACGTACAGACTTTGAGTATGGTGCTGTCCCGGAGTCTCATTACTCATCTGAATGTGTATTAACAATGTGAAACTCCAAAAGTTTATTCCAAAAAACTCAAAAGACAGCAAAAGTCTCAAAAGTTTTTTAAAATATATCTTATCTGGCTATATTTCGGTGCGCTGGGGGGGGGGGGCGGAGGGGGGGGGCACCTTCTTCAGGCCTGAAATTATTTAGCTTGTTTTATGCAGAATATGAGCCTACAGAGAAGTAACCCGCACGGACTCCCCCATACGAGGCACTTACCGAAATATCCTGGCAAATTAGCCAACCCACCCTAACCACACCCTTAAATAGTGGGATGTGACGCGATCACATTATGACTTGCATAATGTCACGTAGTTCCTCCCTATTGTTTATTTGGGGTGTTAGCCGTTTTATTTCCAAGGCCTCCAATATTTTCCTTTCCATTGCGCTCTCTACCGAGCGGTGTAGTACTTTGACCATTAAAGAGGGGGGTTCCTGGTGAGCGTGCTTCCTGTATGATCGATGCCGGGAGAAACTGCTATTTAGGATAAGAAGGTGGATTTCCCAGCGCCCTCCGGTGTTCGTCGATCCGTTTGTATAGGGGCCTCCCAGTTTCTCCCACATATTTTTGCCCGCATCCTTGACATTCTACCAGGTAAACTGTCCCCCTGAGTTGACAGATTTTAGAATCCCTGCAGTAACTACAACCTGCCCTTCCACATTTATCTTCATAAGGCCCTGGAAAATGTAAGGAGGCGTTTTAAATTTGGTGGAGGACGAAATATTAGGCGTATAGGAAGTGGTGAGCACTTTACAATATTATTTATTTTTAATGCCGTGCTTTTTTCATTGAGGTAAGGTAATACCAAGGGAATTCCGTCCGCCGTGGAATGCGGTTTCCATGTATGGGTGCGGGTGCTTGTATACCCATTCTCTCTTAGAATTCTATCCACCATCGAGTCTATTTCTATCCACATCGCTTTGAGAACAAGTACAGACTTCTGTTACTTGTTCTCAAAGCGCCTTTTTCTTACCCTGCTCTCGTTCAGATACTTGCCAATTTGCAGCCACGCTGTAATAAGGCGAATGCTCTTTTTGAATCCTTATCTGGACAGGCCGTATTGAACTAAAATGCAGGAGGGGTCAAGCCCATTGTTTATCAAGAGAAGCGCTTCAAATGTGTACTAAGAATTCTGTGACGTTTCCTGCAATTTTACAAGCAAACTTTTCAATTTTATTGACAATGCGCAGTAATTAATCTCTCTACATATGATATTTCATGAATTCACTGGATACAGAACAAAGAAGTTAGGGTCTGATTCCACCTTCTTTTGCAAAAGCTATCCCTCTGCCATTTACGTCGAACATAACGAATGATGGCGACCTGAAAATATTAAACTCAAAGGATGAATTCGGAAAAGTTGGCCTGAGAAATCAAAGTTCCAGGAAAGAGCATCGTTTGCCGCTACTTGATAGAAGGTGCGTAACTGCTCCCTTTTTCTATCTACAGTCGAAATGTTGGAAGATTGGAGTTGAATGGCATATGTGTTTGGGATGAAGCTGTGGGTCTGATGGAGAGACGGCGCTTGCGGCGCCTGCTTTTGTGGGGGGGGGGGGGCTAGGGCAGGGAGGCGATGTCGTACAGCGCCATTTCACATATTTTAATTGTATACCCTGATCGTGATGTGTCAGTTCGAAAAACTGTCAGAATTTCCTCGAAATTTGAAGTGGAAGCCTATTTCTTTGGATTGGATTGTTTTACAAGTTTTGCGGATATTGGATGATTTCAATGAATTACCTGCGTAGTGACTGTCCAGTGGTATGCCATGAAGGATGCGTCAAATATTTCGCCACAGACGCAGAATCGCCAAGACGTGAGCTGCCATTATCTGAAAGCACTCGCTAGATATGATATAATTGAGTAATGAGAATAAAGCCTGGTGATTGCCGACAGCCTTCGAGACTGCAACTTCGTTAGCATTGGTTCATGCTGTTTTATGGCCATCCGCCTATATTAAGCTATGTAAAATAGATCGAAATTTTGGCCCAAGCATCACCTAAGTGGGGGGGTGGCACAGTGGGGGGGGGGGAGGCTTGACAGTAGTATCTTGATGTATGGTGTAAAGAAAGTGACCGATTCAATTTGGGAAGCGTTCGATTCAAAATGAAAACAGGATATATCAGCACTCGCCAGTAACCATCACTAACCTCGCCCATCTTTTCCGTTTCGTCGCCCTGTGCAAGTAGTTCACCAGAGTAAAAGTCGTTTATTGCCGTCTCAGCTGCACGAATGACATCGTCGCTCGCTCCGAAGGAGAGGGTGGTTTCTATCCGGTTCTTTGGATAGATGTGAACTCTGAAAAGCGAAGCTTCAACACTACAAATTTTCCTTTAAGCATAAAAATTTTATCAAGAAAGGTGCATGTTTGGAGAACTGATGTCCCGACATTGAAACTTGCAGTCAGCTTGACCACCCACGAGGGATCGAAATGTTGGTAGCCATTTACCAACCATTATGCTTAGACTGGATCTAGGCTGAATCCTATTGTAATAGTCACTCATACTGGTAATTTGGGAAACCGCACTTTTTCCCTAATGACTAAGAAAGCATTTCGCTGAATCACTACAGTACCCTTGCTATTCAACACTGAGAAAATCTGTCTACGTACCCAACTCTCCTTTTACCGCCTTAGCGCGCGCCTCAGAGCCGTGGACCCTGCGCACGCAGGATGAGCAAGCGGTAGCGTGATCCAACGCTCGCCGTTTCTGCCAAGGAGTTAAAAGTTTGGTTGGTGGGACATGCCATGCGGTCTTTTGATGACCGTATGACCTTAACGATTACCTACTGGATGTCAAACGGGCCCGGGGACGACCGCGTGAACGATGGTGTGACTCCTTTACGAAATATGTCGCGGTACTTCCGCTGGGGAACTCATCAGGCTACTTTGGCAGAGCACGCCATCGTTGCAAAAATCACAATGGGGATCGCATTTGACCCCGAGGGAGGGGGTCCGTATTTAGCAAGAGTTTCACACTATTCGATGATGTGCCCTGTACTCTGGCTCGCAACAGAGATGAATGGAGACTGTAGCTCTGCGTAGAAATTTCTAAAAACTGAAAAGAAGTCTCAGAAGGTTACTCGGACCTCACCCAAAATCTACGAATCAGTACTAGTGCCACTGGTGATTCGAAACACCATAATAAGTCGACTCGCGCCCTTTCTCAGTTAATAAAGTAAACGTCCCCTCCTACCATTGCTGACTTTGTCTAGAACAATCAACCTATTTTCATTCTGACCTCATTTTTTGTTAATGAAGAATTTTTTCGAAAAAAGAACCAGTAATAGTGGACAGAATAATTAGAGAATTAGCCAGGAGCACCGCGACGGTCACAATTGCACATTGGACTATTTATAAGGGTTCTTTCTCGGAGGTTTGTCCATGCTCTAGAGTCCAAAAAATTAATTTTATTCTATATTCTCTCCAGAAAATTAATTTCTATTCTATTCTGTTCGGCTTCAAAGGGGGCATTCGCCTTCTCGGTGGGCTCCATTTGTTAGTTTCTGTGCAAGCATTCGCGCGCTCATTTGTGTTCGGCTCACTGAGGGCACTGAAGCGCCACTCAGTGCCCTCAGTGAGCTGAACATCTTCTTTTTTGGGCACTATTTACCCTTTACTGCCCCAAAAGCATCGTGGAAATTGAGATAGTTTTTGACGACTTTTTTCTCGTGCAACTGATTTTGGGCTTCGAAGTGTTTTCTCCTGATAGGTAATTTTGACCTCCTGAAAAATATCACATTTCGTCTTAGCTTCGGAACTTCCTGCGGACCGCTAGCGGGGAAGGCGCCGTGATTTGCGTGTAACTTTGGCGCCTGGCGCCTATTGCGCTGGGCGCCAGGATGTTTCTGCCAGAGCGGTATGCTGCATATTCCGTGTTTCAGGAAGGACAGCATCTATCCCTGGGAAGATGTTTTGCAAGCTAATTCGGCTGTGATTTAGCGGTGTATTTTGGCGCCGGCGGCCTGTGGCGCGAGCGTCAGCGGAATTCCATGCAGCGAAATGTTCATAATTCATGTTCAGGAGCGTCAAACGACCCTCAGTGACTAAATTTTTTAAGCCGATTCCGCAAAACGCAGAGGAAAAAAGGTCGCGTCAGAAACTGGCCTGTTTTTGGAGCATTGGGGCAGTGAAGAGTAAATAGTGCCTTTTTTCCTTATGTGGCAGTCGCCCCCAATTGTTGCCACGACAGGACCGAGCACAATGACGTGTTGGTCAAGGGACTTACTCGACTGGGTGAAAAAGCTCAAGGCGAATCCCTGAATTCTGTCTCCCAGTAGCGAAAATCTCTCTGGAACCAGATGAAAAAAAACTCACGTGCGCGTCCCTTCAGTAACGACTTTCGGCCTGTATTTGTTAAGATATGTTTCAAGTGAGGGAAGGGAAGTGGCTGCAAGTCCGATTGAAATGAGAGCGAGAAAGTGTAGAATCATCTGCAAAAAGAGAAGTGATGTCATGGACGCAACAAGGATACAAGACTTAAAGTGTAAAGTACGTAATGGCCCACATGCAAGATCGACAAACACAAGCGGAGCTGCCTAAACGTTCATAAGGACGCGACAGTGGGCATGCGAGGAGGACCAAGCTACATAGAGGTGGTCATAGCTCACATGAGAATGAGCTGTTCTCAGTTGTATATTTAGAAAAGCAAAAGAGTTTTTTAGGCCACGTACAAGTAATATCGTGACTGGTCGTGAAACTACCGTACGACTCGCTTAAGAGATCCAGCTAGCTAAATGTGCCAGCTTGTGCAAGTGCACGGACACCAGTGGCGTCATATTCATGACCACTGCTGCGCAATTCTGCACTCGATGATGGAACATTTGTAGTCTTAATTGCGTCGCCGCAAGTCATAATCGATGTGAATAGTCTCATCCAGAGTTGTCCATCTGATAGAACTTGGAATGACCCCAAAAAACCATGCCGTTGACCTGAATTCGAGGAGAAACGCAAGGTTTTTGTGCCCGAAAGACTCTCACTTCGGACATCGTCCGTCAATGATTCACTATTTGTCCCTCTTATAGTTTGACAGACTGAAGTTTGACGGACCCGCAAAAAGGTGCTGTCCTCTGGAGACGCTGCGCTGTGGGCTCATTCCATGCGAAATTTTTGAAGGGAAGCTACGAGAAGGCTTTTTTGCACACACAGAAGGCGGTACTAGAAGTGAACGGAACATTTCGGATTAATTTCCCCAAAAGTCCGTGTTCTACCAATAGTGATCGAATCAGGTAGAAAACAACCAATGGTAGGAAACGCCGCGTGTGGTTCATTCAACGCCTTCTGACACCGCTCCCGGATTGCC